TGCGCCATTCAGCCGTTTGGCCACAAAATGCAAGTAATGCAAAAAGTAGGTAAAAATACTACTTTGGGTAGGGTTTAAATACCTACGTAGCTATTGATAGCTACGTAGGTAGAAAGAGTCTTTGGACTGGACCTGATTATACCAGGGGCTAATTTGTTCAACAGTGCATATGCATGCAAAAGTTGTATTATGGGAGTCATGAGTGTTTTCTGGCAATCGCTTGTGTCCATTAAGTCTTCATGAAAATTCATGAACATTCATTACCTTGAACTAAACGTTTTTTTTTCTGTTTTTAAACTGAAAATTACCTATATTCATATATATTCATCATTTGTTCATGAACTACATTTTATGAATATGTTCATGAATAAAATTCATGAACCATCTTTATGAACCAGTCATGAACCAGTCATGAATACATCATGAATTTTCATGAACGATTCATCAAAGTTCTTGAAATTATGAATTTCATCTCGCAGGGGTAGACACGTACGCCTGTCTTAAAATTAAGGTACGTAGAGAGCATGCTTAGGCTCATATGTCCTCCTCATGATACCCCTCATGAGCAGACAAGGGGCCCACCTTGTGAAAACACCAATCAATTTCATTGCATTTTATTTATTTTGAGTTTTGATCTTATACACAATTCATCAATTTTTCAATGTTTACTATATGGGACCATGGGAGTTGTAAATAAGTCTGCATATTTCATCCTAATGAATGAAATTCAAATGTCCTTTTTTTCATGCCTTTTAATCATGGGTTAAACTTCGTAACTTTGAAATTTTGTATGACATGTTATCATTTTTAGATATCGTTTGTGTCAATTAAATATTGTTAACATGGTTTTTCCAAATAGATTTGAAATTATGATACAAGCTTCCTGAGAGGTCCGTGTATTTTTCTTTAATAGGGCCCTGGAAGATTGGTTGTTTCTTTGATTTGAATCCCTTTGATAATTGTTTGGACAAGAACATTTATCTAAACATTTGTCTGGTGAAGGACTCCAAATTTAGACGTGTACGCGGCACTTTAGACCATGAGCAGTGAGGATTTTTTTTTTTGTGCCAGTATCTACTGCGTAACTGGACCTAAGTTTTTACTGTGCCATTCGAAGAACCGGTCTCAGCGTCCCACATTGGGATTTGAACCTGCAACTTAGAAATAGCTCCTTACTTCGAGACTCTTAAACGAAATGCTCTAGAAGCACTGCACAAATCGAAGCACTTGAAAAAGTACAAAGCAATGGAAGCTGATTGTAGGTATAAAAAAATACTCTTGTGTCCAGTCTTTGCTTACCCGAGAATCATTTAAACAGATGTATTCGATTTCAACAAATTTAATCTGGTATGAGATATTTCGATTGAATAATAGTTGTGAATTAATTTACCTCAAATGTTGAGTTTAAACTGCATTTGTATGGTATTCTAGCTGTTTACAAATCACTTTCTTTTGTACTTAACTTATTTACAAAGATATCATTCTATTAAATTTTAAGAATGTATTTTCAAAGCTGCTGTCAAAAAAAAAATTATTTGCCTACCTACCTACCCATCTTGAGATTTTAGGGTCGGGTTAGGGGAAACAAAGATATTTTTAATGATGGCCTGATTAAGAACCAAACTATAATTTTGGGAATAACTTTTATTTTTCTACATTAATTTGGAAATGGTTTCAATCTTTTTAAAAAGAATTTATAAAGATAACTTAAATTATGCTTGCAGTTTTGATCACAGGGATTTATCAGCCTATTTTGGGAAATGCCATTTTTGGGGAATTGGGAAAAAATTATCGGCTTTTTGATGAAATTGGGAAAAATTAAAAATGTTGCTTAAATCATGTATTCAGGTGTAATTCATTTAACATTTCAGCATGAACTCTAATTTGGGCAACCAAACAGACAATATATATGATCCAACTTCATACAAGATCAATTATGAATAACAGACTAATAAAAGTAAAATTGACTTCAATGAGTATAAAGTGTTTATACAACTTAGGGTAGTACATGTGCGTATGAGATTCCAATTTAGGTCATTACAGAATCTGTTTCTGGAGAATATATAAATCTCCTGCAAGTATACATTTTCTCAAAGTCCTCTTTTAATATGTATTAATGCATTGAAAATATATTTTTCTATTTGAAATAATGCCTACAGACCTTACCATACACTCGTAGATCAATTGAGTAGGTAGAAATAACTTAATAAATCTATATAATTACACAATATCACCATTTTCAGAAAAACGGAGGAAATTCGGATTAAAAGTTGGCGATGTTTTTACAGTTTTTAAACATGTGTTATGACTGTAGCTTTGCTTAATGACTTAAATAGATGAATATTACAGACAATCTGACAATTTTCCTTGTGTTTTTCCAAGATAATTAAATACAAAAGCATTGTTCACCAATTGGGAAAAAATACTGCCAAATTGGGAAAAATTTAACTCATTTTCAATTGGGAATGGGGCCGAATTTCGGCCCCTGAGAAGGTACTGATAAATCCCTGGATCAGAATCATTTATTTTGCAAGATTCTACAATCATCTGAAGGTTTTGGTCTTATAAGTAGTAAGTTCTTTTGTACAATTTTTAGGGCCCTTGTTCATAAAGAATTCTTGGTTCTAAGGAAACTTTAATGAATCCCACAGAAGGCTATGCACTATGCAGAGTTGTGGAAAACTTTTTCAGAAAGCCAGTCATTCGGACTGGCAAGAAGACAAAATAAGCCGGTCTGAAGTGATTTTTGCCGGTCCGAAATAGTAAGTCGCAAAATAAAAAAACCCATAATATTTATTTAATTCATTACACATCTATTTACCTAATAGTAATATAACATTCAGTCTCCATTTCCAAGTCCTCCTCCATTTTTGTTTTTTGCATTGATAACGATACTAGATTTCACGGCTTTTGGCAGGTGACAATGCTAACTCAGCATAATAAACCTAATTTTTTTTGAAACATTTATGCATTTTGGAATAACATTAACCTAGAAAATGAGTCTAAAAAATTGTAGAAATTCTGTGCATTGATAATAAAGATATCAACATGATCGATGAAAAAACGAACTCCAGTACAGTCGGAAGTACTAGATTTACTGGTGCTTTCCCTAACTGTGTTTGAATTCTTTCTGTCGAAATTTTTCATATTTAACTTGTCTTTATCTGTTTCATTGTGTTTTTTACCTCTGCCCCAGTTGTAAATTTATAGGTCACAAGAACATGCTGGTTTCGCTTTTATTTATAGCCTCAATCTCGTGTAAAGAAAAAGTTTTACGCAATCGCATATAAGGTACGATAATTAAGCTGGGAAGTCCCTCGATGATAAATGGTAAAACAAAAAAACTTTACCCAAGAAAAGGGGCCGGTCATTTGGACCGATATCAATAGCAATTTTACTGGTCACAAGCATTTTTTGTCCGTTTTGCCGGCATGACCGGCAGTTTTTCACAACTCTGCTATGTTGCTTGAGGAGGAGAAGGACCTTGAGCTGAAAAAATACTTGTCATTCATTTTTTTTTTTATAACATTAGGTTTCTTACCTTATTTTGGAGATATTGATTGTCAAATACTATGCCCTACAGTATCTAAGTGGAGTTTTAATTCTCCATGTTTCCGGGCTCATTACTCTGTCCATAATGGGATTTTTTAAGCATATATAAAAAATATCAAAGTGGACATGTATCTTTTAAAATATTTCAAAGTATGACAGTCACTAGGATTTAAAATTCAAAAAACCAAGTTTTGTCTATCACACTGCATCTGGATAGGGAAAATTACGCACTTTTTAAGACAATTAAACAATAAAAAACGAAATTTACAAAAAATTCTGACATTCAATATTTTTTAATTTACGTTGAAATGCAATTCCTTCAAATTATTGATTAACTGTAAAAATTTCAAATGGTGAAGCTGACCTCATTATTTCACAGGACATCGTTAAAGAGGACTTAGCATGACAAAAATGTGTCATGTTTCATTTCTCGAGTACGGGAAAAACCAACTATGACGTCACATGTTCGCTAAAGAAGCGAAATAAGATATACCTACATAAGATTTCCGTCATCAGCCATGCAAAAATAATTTTTGTGTTCCCCGTTTCTCAAAATATTTCATCATATACTGATTATGACCTGTTTTTACATAATGATACCGCCCCTGTGTTCAAAGAGTATGATCTTGCTGTACTAACAGATCATGTATGATGTCACCGACTTGTTGGACGCGCAGTTTAGGGAAACAGAGGAGTGGATCAATCTTTTTCATAATTTGTTAATGTTTACAAGAATGTTAAAACTTTTTTATTTTTTGATATAAGATGGTAATTAAAGTTAAAAAATAGTCAAAAAATTATATAAGAACTGATGCTTTACACGTTTTGCACTTATATAAACGGAGATTATATAATGACGTAGTTAAACAGAGTCATGTGACCATGTGTCCTTCATCCCCTTAAAAGGATCCTAAGGGTAGTGTAGAATAATCGGACAAAAATCATAATCAATAATCGGTTGTAATCGGAAACACATAATCGATTGATAATCGACTATAATTGGTTTTTTTTTACCCTTTTAAATAAAATAAGAGATTCCTTAACGTGTTAAAGCATAATCACAAAAACAATATATTTATCCTTTGTCTATTCAGAGTTTATTGAGTAAATAAAGTCAGTAATATATATATAAATAAACAGAATAATTTTTTTCAGTAAATTTGTTTAATGACAAATTATTCTAATGAAGTTTACACCCGAAGTAACCATTAATATTTTTGTCAGCGATGTCGGCGACTTTTTTTTCATAATCGATTAGTAGCATCGAAGAGCTCCAAACGATCGACAATCGATTGTCGGCGACAATTGTTTCATCACTACCTAAGGGACATAAGAACTTTGTTATAAGGAAGCCAAATCCAAAGTCCATGTGACTTTCTTATACCCAAGTTTCAATGTATATATGTATCTTTCAAAATAAAAAATTTCAATTAATCAATGAATGTTACCTGTAGTGTGTGGACATATAATTAATTGCTGCTGTGTTCAAGTTGTTGCAGAAAAACTGCCTGAAGTGAGTGAGGGGCAGGTTTGGTTGCAGGATATCGAGCAGTGACTCAACGCCATCGAAGGAATGTACAAGATTGATGGTCACAGCCAGAGAGGGGTTGTGAGCTGTTATCATCTGCCATGATGCATTTGAAATTTTCTCGTGTGTACTCTCTATACCATGGATATGTATAACCAGTTTTTCCAACTTTGCACGACTTCTGTCAACAAAAGACTCAAGAACACTATTTGTAAGGTAGTCATAATCTATACTGAGGTGACTCAACTGATGGAATGGCTGAAGATCATCTGGGGTCAACCATATGATTCCATAATTCTCACTGTCTTCTTTGACACTGGCTAGGAATAGATGTTTCAGAGACTGTGAGTGGTGTTTGGATAACAATTTCAACAGACGATTGGAATGTTCCAAGAGCTCTTCAACACAACCCAAAGAGAAATGCTTCAGTCTTCTGCTTGTCTGAATGATGCTCTCAATACCATTTAAAAACCTAATAATTAAAGCAGAAAAAATTGAAAGGTTTTTCTTAAAATAAAAATAAAATAATTGAACCTATCATTTAGATTTGTTGTTATTCCCGAGGGGGGGGGGGGGGGGGGTGGCTTGCAATATATATAACATTTCTCCTGTAGGGGAAAGATGATTACGTGAGATCTCGTCCCATAACAGACTCGGACTATGAATAACTCGGCCTATTACGGAGTCGGCCTACACATACTCGGCCTATAACGGAGTCGGCCTACCGCTAAAAAAGTATGATAAATACATGATTTAGCAAACTTAATGTAACTATATTTTAAATCAGGCAAGTTGAAGCATTGCTGTATACTTGCGATCGTAGCATTATATAAATTTTGTAATAATATACCTAGTATTATATAAATAAAGTCCCTCCTCTAAAAATGATTATAATGGATTACCAAAAGTAATGTAAATCACACATATGTTCTAGATACACTTTTTTTAAATATTATATATTTGGGGTTTATTTTTTTCTGTATAGATTTTTATTTTTTTTTTCTTTTTTAATCTACACTCCTACTTTTGTTGATAAAGAGTTCTAAATCAAATCTTATCATTTTATTGTGATAGACAAAAATATACATATATATGTATATGGCACACTTATGAAGTATATAATAACTTCTGTTCATTATTTACTATGCCCATGAATAAATACCAAGAATTAAAAAAAAATGTATTTGTTCATAAAGTTTATTTATTTTCTACATATAAATATGTTCAACATCATTTGTAACATTTTATACATTTTCCATAATAAATAATGAAACATTTTTCAAACAACATATTTATAATTATGATGCACATCATTGTCACAAATGTCCAGTCCTTATGTTGATGAAATGTTCACTGAGGAGAGCACAAAGAAGTTCATCGTAGAGCACTAATCACAGTACACAATAACACAGAACACATAACTTCATCTGCAACATTTCAAAATAACATTTTCCATAATAAATAATGAAACATTTTTCTGGTGGAGCCGGTACTCTTGTTGAGAAATTCCTATTTAACATAAAATATATACTGATTATCTTAATTTTTTCTGCATTGATTTTCTGTAAAAATACAGGTAATGAGAATAAATTGCACTTGAATATATATATATATAGAAAGTTTTTTAGGATGTAGTGATATTTTCATTTTTCATATAAAGTTTTACTAATAAAATTCTTTTAATATGAACATATATATATTTAATAAATTTTAATCTGACTGTAACAAGATAATGTCTTTAACATTAAAGTTATTTCTAAACACCTTTGCTCTGATAACTGTAAATTGCTTTGATAAGACTGAAGGGGATATGTTGCTTATTGTTAATTGCTATCAAAACATGGATATCCATAGAAATATCTGTGTATATACACATGTACATGGATGATGATAAGTGTCAATGGTATTCCAGTTTTATAAAAATGCACAATATAGTAATTGGAAAAATTCGACTACTTATAACATTTTTTTCACTTTTATCATCATATTGCACATTTGCATTCTAGTCACACAAATGTAATCAGATATTGTTTTACACTTCGGAAATTCTTTTTTGACAATTAATGTTTTTTTTGGCAACACTAATTTTTTTCGGTATATCATTTTTTTAAACATCAACCATAATCATAACTTGATTATACAAAAGTTACTATATAGTCCACATTTAAAGCTCAATACATTGAATATTATGAGGAAAGTCTTTATTGTCAACATAAAGCATTTATTAGATATTTGGCAGGTATTTAGACACTATCTAAAGACATATTCATTTTTTGTATATCATGAATGAAATACTTCTTAAACTTAACTAACTTCCTAAACTTAACTAAAATATTTCAAGCAAAACTTTTTGTTTGTAATACATTGTAATACATTAAAAACATCTTTTAAAAATATACAATTTCATTAAAAATATATATATATATTTCATTAAATTCATTACAAATATTCTATTCTATATGTATAGGCCGAGTCCGTAATAGGCCGAGATCGAAATAGGCCGAGTAAGTTATAGTCCGACTCTGTTATAGTCCGACATCTCTAGTACCCGGAAAGATAAGTTATATTTTTTAATCCGATGGAAGTTTTACTACATAAAAAGTCTTTGTTCAACGCCAATGTCAACGGGGCTAAGGCCTAGATCACCATATGTGATACCCATAGTGGTATTTATACGTTAATAAATAATAATAATTCTATTTTTTCATCAATATCTTCGAGGAAATTCAAGTTACAAGGAAATGTTTACAAACAAATAACCGTGATATGATTGGTTTATTTTCTACCAGCTGACTTGGCAAATACGTCAACTTCGCAGTTGTTTTTATTTACCTCTGTACGAAATTCGTATCTGGCCATTCGATGTGACAACTTGAAGGAAATAATGCAAAATGCTGTAGATTCTTGTTTGAACCCAAAATAGAAATGATTCTTGAGCATTCCCTCACTTCAGTACAACTGTGTGCATTAAATTTGATCACTGCTTGTCTTACAAAACGGCCACATCTGTCTGCTAAAAATCTCGACCTGTGTCGCTTCGAAAATCCGAGTTGAAACTTTATGTTGTTCCATAAAGATGGGTGGAAGAGACAGTTCCTCCATCTCTTGTTAATAGAAGACGCTTTTAAACGGTCTTCATGCGAAAGGTACGACAGTATGTCCACAATTAGTACGCTAGGCAACGAGCCCCACTTCGGACCCGCTGCCATCTTAGTTTTTCTGTCAGAATGACGCATATCACGTGACCAAAATATTTTTGCGACGAAAGTTTATGACGTATGGAATCCCATGCTGAACAACCACTCAGTAGGCCTTTTGCCATGTAGACAAGCACTTTGTGCAGTACTCACTCATTGTTCTCAATTAGAATTTTTTGGGCACTTACTATTAAAGTAAAGCTTAACTTTTTTAGCATTAGACATACGTATATTTGATATTTTTTCTTGAAAAAATTCATCAAAAGTTAACCCCCGGGCCATAGTTAGGTCTTTCCACCTTTCTGTGGAAAGACCTCTTGAAATGCTTATGTTTATTATTATTATTATTATTTTTCTTCCCGGACTTTTGAAACCGTAAGACTAATCGAAAAACTTTATAGTTCATGATACTGGATATTAAAAGTTATTCCGAAAAACGACCCCCCATGTTTGAACTTTGACCTCTTACAAAGTTAGTGCCCCTTTCGCAAGAATAGCTTGTTATCGCTACTCCTTCGAAACCGTAAACTGTAGAGGTACGAAACCTTCACCAATATCTTTGATTAATTGAGGAGATTCTTCAATCTATTCATTGCGAAAGAATTCGTTGACCACTTCAATGAGTTATTGCCCCTGAAAGTTTTTGATGTTCATGAAAAATTAAAAAAAATCAAAACCATAAGTCGTAGAGACATGAAACCAACTGCATTGAATTCTTTGACCTTTGACCTTGAAATTTATGTCAAGGTCAAAGTTCAAGGTCATTCAAACTATGAGATATTTATAACTCTCTTGTCTTTCAACATATACTATATGTCTTTGCATCTTTGATATGTCCTTCTAAAACTATTTCAAAGATTTCATTCTTGTCCCCTAAGCTTAACCCTTTGAAAGTTATTGCCCCTTGTGCGAAAAACCTTGTTATCGCTACTCCTCTGAAACCGTAGACCATAGAGACATCAAACCTTCATTAATGTCTTCAGGGTCTTTAGACACAACTTCAATCTATTCAGTGCGAAAGGATCTGATGACCCTTTATATGAGTTATCGCCCTTTAACGGCTTTGCGCTTAATATTAGGCCTTATAACTTTAAAAGTATAAGTCCTAGAAGCATGAAACCAATTCCAATGTGATTCTTGACATTTGACCTTTAATTTGTGGTAAAGGTCAAAGGTCAAGGTCATTTCAAAATTTTCAAAATTTTCATTTTTTTCTATTTTCAAGCCATTTCTGGATTCTTTTTGTATAAAAATTAACTTTAGAGAGTAAAATATAAAAATTAAAAAAATTTAAAGAAGGTGGAAAGACCTCTAATTGTTCGAGAACAATTAGTCTACTAGTTATTATATTTTTGACAACTGAACAGAAAATGAAATTCATCTTCAATTTCTCCTGTGTTGCAAATATGACAAAATCTTTCCCCTGTTGGTATAGACAAGTGTCTCCCCTTTTCTATGGCAGGATTATGTGCACTAAAACTCAACCTGCTAATAATTGACCCCCCCCCCCAAAAAAAAATCCTGTTAAAAAAAACTTTCCATTGTAAATCTTAAACAGTATATATTTTTTTTTAAACAGCAAAAATCGGAGATTTTTTGTTTTTATTTTTATATTCAGACCAAACCCGTAGCAACGATTTGAAAAGTAGGTGGAGGCTCCCCCCAAAAAGGTCTAAACTGTCCAAAAAGTGGGGGTAAACCTCTCAAAAAAATCCAAACTCGAAAATCCTAGGGGGTGGGGGATCCTTACTTTTTGGCACATTTTCTTTTTTCAAATCCTGGAATTAAATTGCCAATGATCGACCTTACAGCAACAAAAAGACGGACCAAGCAGCATCTAAATGAAAAATACAATTCCCAGACCCCCCCCCCCCCCCCCCGTTCTACGGGCCTGCAGACAGACATGAGAAACATTGACACAAAAATTAAAAAGAGTTGCACCATCCTGGAACCAAGCGCCTAGATGCTGTATTCCACTTTTGAACATAATTTGATCTGTTAACTTAGGTTTGACTGTTGCAGTTTTATAAGAAGTGTGATCATTCTATATATAAGTTAGATAAGTTAGGTAAACCACAAAATGTGAAGCACTGATGCATGGCAACTCATGGTCAAAGTCAAAGTTTTTGTTCAAAAGTAGATGAACCTCAAAGGTCAAATTCATGAGGTCAAAAATGTTGTAATCGGTATCCCCCCCAAAAGGTCTCATCATAAGGAACACGCATGTGCAATATGAAAGCCCTAGTACCAACTGTTCAAAAATTACAGGCAAGGTTAAGTTTTTACGTGAAATTCAAAGGTCATGAGGTCAAACATGGTACCCAGAAAACCCTAGCCTAACTATTCAAACGTTACGCCAACTAAAGGTAGGTTAAACTCCAATGTCAAGATCACGAAGTAGGGATGGGTATCGCCAGAAATTTTGCATCGTGATATATCACGATTTTCCCCTAAAATATCACGATAATATCGTGATATTTTTATAAGCAATTTTTTCAACAATTTCAAATGAAATTCTTTAATGCTTCTTAAAATATGCTATAAAAACATATCTTCACTTTTTAAATTTGCATTTATATAATATAATGCATGTTTGGATGCCATTGTTTAACTGTTTTCAACACTTTTTACACTTCTCGTAATTTTATTTAAAAGCTTGAACATTTAATTATGATTACGTACCAAATACGGTACCTGTATTTTAGTCTCCGCATCGCGATACGTTTCACGCAATAAAAAATCACGATATACGGGTATACCGATAAAATCGCGCATCCCTATCACGAAGTCAACAAAAATGTTGTTACCCAAGGAAAGATATTATAACAAGGAATACATCTAGCACATTGATTTACAGAAGTTAGGGTCAAGATAAGAGATTGTTAAAGTTTTTCAAAAATATCATATTGTTAACGTGTCTAAATACTAGTAGGGTGCAATTCTAGACAATATTACCTTTTCTAAACAGAAGTTTGTATGGCCAAATATCCTGCATAAATATTCATGTCGAAACAGTCCGGTTTGACATATACTATACTAGATGAAATCCCGCGCAAGCGCAGGGAATTGAATTTTTATCGCTGCTGACGGAATAATTCCAGTAAATAAATACTCACAGTTAATTAAATATGGCAGAAATATTGCCGACATGGCGTAAAACAATAATAATCATCAATCAATCAAAGTTGATTAAAGGTTTATAGTAGGAAGAAATACGTTGTTCAAAAATCCTGCAGTTGGTTTAGGAGCAGTGATATTTTAACTTTAAAATATCAATTTCACCTTTCGACGTTTTCATTTCACACGTTACAACTCTATTTTGATACATGATGTATTTTGTTAAACGTAAACTCTATTTTGATACCTAGTTCTTCTGGATGACTTAAATCAAGTTTTCATTGAATAATTCATGAATGACGTTTTATCAAACAATTAAACGATTGCTTGTCCTAAGTTTCATTAAAAATTGCTAGTAACTTATAGATCAACCGCAACCGTATTACCCCTCAAGTGTCTATACATAACAAATATTTATCCTGTCGAAGATTTTTTTTAATAAAGTTCATGTTCTCTAAGTTAATTAAGCAAATTGTTCCGTAACAATTGCATGTTTGTACATTGTGACGTCGTTTGATGCTTAGTAGGCTCTTTGTGTGTTCAAATGAAAACAACATATTGAATATGATTTTGACAGTATGGCACGCGGAGGAGACAAATTGATTTGATGTGTGGTGGGTAGGTCACGTGGAGAGGGCACATTAAAAATATAATGACGGTAGGCAGCATAATATGATTTAATACAGTATTCTTCTCATGTGTCTCGGAGACTGGAATATACCTGGTAAAAGAGGTTCAAGGATGACTGGACTGATTACCTGATGGAAGGGGCGCTTGGCAGACCAACAAAAGTGAAGACAAACTGAAAAGACTACATCATTCGTGAAGACTGCTGTTTTACTAAGCGAGAAGCTGGAATCATGATCTGAGTTGGGAAATGGTCTATTCATAGAAATATTTCTATTTTTCAATGAACCTGGTATGTGCGAGAGAGTATCTCGATTACTAGCTGAAAATCAAATGCAGTGTTGAATTTCGGCTTCATTTTCCTGTTTCAAACAAATATTTAATATCAAAGAAAGTTGCAAATTAATAAACGCCACGAACTATACGTATTGGCGTCGTCGTCATCGCTATAACAGCTATTCGTCAAAATGCTTTCTATATAAACACATTGTCCAATCTGACTTCTGTAAAATGCAATCCTATTTAACAAAACTTTTCAGAGTAATTTAAAAAAAAAAACATATTTCCCGCATTAGACTTTCGTCTCACTATCTTAACATAGAATTCGGAAGGTACCAAGGCAAAAGTAGAGAGGATAGATTATGCGATGTTTCTAATACACCAAACAGAAGACAAATCCCATTTCATTCTTCAATGCCCTAGATATCTAAATTTAAGAAAAAATATATAAATGAATATTATTACAAATCGCCAAGTACTTTTAAATTAATCCAATTGTTGGGTACAAACCGCACATCTACCTTTGTTGGTTTAGGGAAATATATCCATTATGCTCTAATATTACGTAACGAAGATCTATCAGGTTAACCTAATTTCTATCTGTGTAAGGTTTATATTTTCAGATGTCTGTACATTAAAACATCATTGCTATATATTGTATTATAACTTTGAATTATGTATTGTACTGCTTTATTAAATATATTATTGTATACTATAAATGAGTGGAACTGTGGGACTGAGGAACACTTGACCAGGGGTTTCACCCCCCCCCCCCTAATTAAGGCTCACTGAGAGTCTTAAATTTTGTAATGTATGTTATTACATGTTATTTTTGTAAACTGATGGGCTGTATTGCCCAAAGTTATATCCTGAATAAACTTAATAAACTAACAGAAAATTGTTATTAATAGATTTATATCAGTAGATATATCTAAATGTCGAGTTGAAGGCTACAGCAAAAGATTTCTTTATCTCTTGTATATAAGATTTTGAAGATATTCTACTTCATCTGAAT